TCATAAAATTCAGATAAGGACAGAAGGAGAGGATGTGAACCACATTACTGCTGCATAACTTTCCATGACAAGGCACAGATTGGTTTTCAGTAAACTCATGGGCACCAACAGGTGGAAAAAAGCACAGACACCAATAAGAAGCAATGTTGCACATTAGAAGACTTCACAGGTTCATACAACCTCTCCCTTAAAGGTCAACTCTTAAAGTGCTTTCTCTCATTTCATGCAGTCCTATCTCAGGTGAAAGAGTCATTGACCATAGCGAGAGGTTCAGATGAGTTAAGGGATATGCTGATAACTCTCCTCATAGTCAGTAATTCTGCTTGAAGTTTTCTAGGTGGAAGGCGTGCAGAAAAATCAGCCAGTGAAAAAGCAAGAGTACCCAACCTATAAATGAGGTTTCTTAACTTTTTGAAACATCAGAACCTGAAATTTAAAAACTTTTAAGCCAGCCATTGTGTTTGTCAAAACAATAAACAGGAATAAAAATTTGAGACCTTCTGTCTTAATGTATTTTCACAGTTTAAAAAATGGAAAAATCTTATCAGCACTGTGGATGTTCTACGATTTTCAGCCAGTTGCCCGTAAATTGATAAATGAAGGCAATCCCTGGCTGAAGAGTTCAATTTTGGGAGATCTTTGTGAACTGATTTGGCTCTAATATGTATCAGACAAGAAGAAGCAGAGTTGAGGAATGGTGAGGAATAGGACAAGACATGATCTCATCTGAACCAAGACCAACCAGTATATAGAAGGTGTAAAAACACTCGTCTGCACATATCCAGGCAAAGCAGAAATGACAAGGCTGCTGCCAAAAGTCATCCTTAAGAAACACAAGGCTGAGGAACACTTAACAGCTCTGCGTCCATCCAGAAAAGAGGTAGATCAAGTAGGAAAGACTCATGAGGAAAAGTAGACTGTGGTGCTGTGGATGGGAACAGAAGACGTGTTGGGCTGGCATCACGAGATGAACCTGCCAGGGGGTGAGATTCCCTGCCCAAGCCCAGCATCTCTGTGGCACTGGAGAAGACACCCATCCAAAAGGTGGGCAAGGAGATTCCTCCCCATGTGAGCCAGTCAGCTGGGATATTGCAGTGCACAGCTTGGCCTGTGCCAGCCCAGCAGGCTTAGGGAAGTGAGAGGGTCTATAGGGCTCCTGAGTGTTGCCAGCTGCTTTACAGGATGGGAGGAAAAGAGGCACAAAGCTGACACCATGGAGGAGGGAAAACTAGAAAAATACCGGCAACCAGCTCCTTTGGACCTTTGCCTCCTTCTAGAAGTGAATTTGAGAAAGTCTCTTTGCCCGTGTGTTTGCTGCACACCGACTCCAACGCAGTCTGCTCCACCATCCCATGTTGGACCTGAAGCAGGATGGGCACAAACCCTGTCCTGCCTGCAGGGTTTGCAGTGGTCATTAGATGAATCATGGACAAACGCGTCCTCACCTCACCACTTTTCTGTGGCCTTCAGGGCTGTGTCTGCACTGGTAAATCAGACAGGAGAGGAACTGTCACCCCAGGGGGACTCAGACCTTTGGATGGGGATAAACTGTCCTTGAGAAATGCCCGCATCTCCTGGTGATGGAGAAAGCAAAGGTGACCCCACTATGAAGCTAGAGGCTTTGGCTAAGCAACAGCAGGACCACTCTGCTTGCCCTTCCAGGGCAAATCACAGCCACAAATTGTGGTTCCTTCTCTGTTTCTAGAAGGTCTGACCCCTTCCTTCCTAAAATCAGTGGAGGATGTCTTTGGATCTCTAGCTAATAGACCATGGCCTATACACTCGATTAAGAGTTTGTGATCAGCCCAGGAAAGAGAGGAACAGCTTTGACAAACATACAGTCTGCTGTGCCTTAATGGCAGAGTTATTCCCCTCTTTTGGTATCAGCATTTTCCCAATTTTTGCATGAATATTGTTCATGCACACGAACACCGAGAAAAAAACCCATCTATTATGTATGACTTGTAATTGAAAGGATTAAGAAAAGATTTCTTCCCCTGTACATCCTTTGTGCATGTAATTTTTATCTATGTTTAACAACAGTTTTTACACATTTAGTCTAAATAATCCAGTGATGAATTCATTTCAGTGAGGACTGCATTTTATGAGGGGTGTTGTATTTGTTTATAAATAATTTTATGGCTTTTGCAAATTCCTTGAACTTTGCTAAGTGATTGTCAAACGTTATTAATCCTGAGTTCTCAGTAACAAACACAGGCAAATAGTGAGTCACTGGTGGGTTTTTTTTGGTCTTTTTTTTTTTCGCTTTGTTCCAGCAGTGAAATGGTACTAAGAAATTTCTTTGAGCGAGAAAATCAGGAGGGTCATTGCATCTACTTGGCAGGATTTAAACACAACGCACTTCTGGAAGGGTGGAAAGCCAGAGCCAGCATATTCAGTGTTCTTCTCTCTCATTGGCCGTTCAGCCACATGGGATGCTAAATAACGCAGCTGTACACACTCTGACAGCCGACTGTTAATAAATTCTGCCCCCTTTGATTGCCTCCAGAAGCCACACCAGCATCTGCGAGGAGAAGGCGAGCAGTGAGTGTAGCTGGGCTGACCCAGATTTCTGCAGAGCTGATTAGCTCTCCATGCCAAACTTTCACTAGAGTTGACTTCTCTTGCAAGATTGCTTAACTTCTCTGTAATACCACTGTTAGTATTGTTGTATGAATAACAACAACAACAATAATAAGAAAGCATGAAAAAAGGTTATTCTTTCAAAACCTGACATTTCAATAGCTGCCATTTGGTGGTAAATGGTTATGATGAGTTTTGACTTATTCTAATGACATAAAACCAAAAAAGAACAACACAAATAAATATGGGCTTTTAAAGACCTGCTCATGTGTGACTGCGACTGGTGGAGAGGTGCTTCAGTGCCTGACAGAGATCTGCTTCTCAGCCACCACCTCCCCTACCAGGTCTGAATCCAAAACTCAGAGATGTTGAGGGGAGAAGGTTTTTCCTTTGACTTCACTAAGCTTTGGATCAGGTGCTAACCTGAGAGGTTGTTTAAAGAAGATGTGGGACACAGAGTTAAGATCCCAACTGCTCTTTCTGACCACCTTCAGAGTTTTGGGAAAGTTAGTCCTTAATTTGCCCTTGGAAGACCAGCTGATTGCAGTGATGGATGCATCTCAGAAGTGCTGGTTGATGTGGCCCAGCAGCTGTATCTAAAGGATCAGGATAGAGAGTAGATTATCCCTTTGGCTCCGCCTGCATCCTAAAGGACTTCTGCAAACTTGCCCAATACCTCTTTCCTATTCCATTTGAGTACCAGCCAGGTGAGGTCAAAATGCTTCAGGTACTAGAATCTTGCCAGGAAGGGAAAAAAGAAATAAGAAAAAAAAGCACCGTGAGGAGCTGACTCCTAGACTGCAGCAAGGGAACAGTGATATTAGGACAGGGGCTGAAGAGAGAGTCCAGGCTGGCTCAGCCAGAGTCCTTCCTCTGGGGAAGCATGTGCTGTGATAGGAAATTTGGTTACTGTTCCTAATTTCCCACTTCTAGGCAATTCTGAATCATGTTTGGAAACTGGCAGAGACCCTTCTCTGGATGCCTAGGCTGGTATGAAAAGACCCCAGCACAGTGCACTGTTGGCCAACAAGGATGGTACCTCCTTGTCGCTGCTGAAGACACGAGGTGTGTCAGAAAATGATCTTTTGGCACACCTTGCAAAAACCACCAGCAAGGAAAACTCTGCACAGTGACAAAATCTTCCTGGTCTCTCTCTCCTGCAGGAAGGAGGCATTTCCTTGTGCTCTTCCCTTCGGAGACAACACGGTAACATTTTCTCATCTGAGCATCTCTAGGCAAACTCAATGACTTTGGTTGAAGTTATGCTTATTTACACCAGCTAAGAGTCTGACCCGGTGTGCATATGTGCGTGTGTGACCAAACCACAAAGAATAGGAAAGTTCAGAAGGTGTTCAGAGGGAGACCATCCACAAGCAATCCCTGTGCTTTTATCCAGCAAATTTTGCCTCGGCTCTTATGAAGGTAGGTTTGTCTGTATCCAGCAGCTTGTGCTTCTGGGCGATACAGGCAGACTGTTGGTGGAGTCTTTCTCCTCATGAGGTTTTGGATGAGTGAAAAGCAGGAAATCCAGAGAGGAGAATGAAAAGCAATTTAAAAATTTAAAAAATGACTGAAGCCTGTTTCCATGAGCATCCACAAAAAGGGAGGGCTGAGTTAGCTACCCTCTGAACTGATTTTAGCCACACACACACAGAGGCACACATACCCAAGATCTGCAAATCCCCCACCCTGCCTCAACACACCGTGGTGGGCCCCTCTCCACTGCTGCATCTGGAAGAACAAAAATGTTGCACATTCTGATAACCACATATTCCATCCTAAAATTGCACTGGTTTCTGGCTTGCTACTGGGACTCAGGTCAGGGAAAGGAGAATAGAGTTTTCTGCCTGCATCCAGCAAGCAAGAGCTGTTAACCCTGCCCACCCAGAGGAGCATTTTGCCAAGGAGTGAGGTTGCTCACGGGAAGAACATGCAACTGGTTGTACCGAGCTGTCCGTGTTGAGTGCTTCTCTGCAAGACTGGGCAGCTATGACCCCCAAGGGATCTTGATCAGTGTTGTGTGTGTTACCAGGCAGACTTGACAGGGAAAGA